GAGATCAAGCATGCTGAATTAAGATAATTTATCATAAATCATAGCTGTAATTCTGCATCTGCACTAGACCTACCAACAACTGACTGCTTCTTGCTATGCCAGGTCATCAAATTTTCACCTACCCAGATACAATAGCCATAAGTTGAAGTTCTCTGGGATGGATCTTGCCAGGTCAACATCTACACGAGTTTCCACTTGCAGGTGATCATGCCTAGAAAATAACAACAATTTACCATGAGCTAGCTTCAGGTATCACATCATTCATGAACATTCGTTATATGAGACTCATGAGATGAGTTCATATACTGAATTACCACCAAACGCCATGAATTATATCATTACTAATACCTGAAAAATAACTAAGTTTGCCATCAATCACTAGTATTGGCCTTCATCAATAGAAGTAACATCAGCACAATTTACCAACCTATGATTTTGTTGGATGGATATAATTTGGACTGGTATGTTTGCTAATTTGAGGTCTATTAGAGTTGACTTGGCAATTGGACAAACTACAGGTTTGCTTAACATTGAAACCAATATTGCTGTATAGAATTGAGGAAGCTCAAAAATCATATTTACAGCTACAAAAGGTCAAGAATGAAGTTAAGACCAGTATTAGAACTGATTTTGTGAGTAAAGATAATGATGTTTGGTTCTTTGAAACTTGATTGAGCGTACCGACCTATGAAGCACGGACACTTTCGAAAACGTGACGTATCCGTGTCGGACACCGACACTCTTCGGACACGTGTCCGATACTCTTTTATCCGTGTCCATAATTAAATGATAAATTTTTAATTTCGGACACTTCTTTGGTGATATGTCAGACACTTATTTAGAACGTGTCTACTACTAAACAATAGACATTTGTTAAAATGTGACTAATAAAGTTTAAAAATTTGAGAACATATAATTACTAATACTAGACATATTAAAGTTATACTCCAAATATAACAATAAAAACAAAAGATGTATAAAAGTTTTTAAAAAGAAGAATTGAGAAAATGAGAGCAATTATTTAAATTACATATTAGGTATACATTGTCTACAAAAAAAAAATTGATGATTATTGACTATAATGAAGATGTTTTAGTCTAAAAATTCACACAGATAACTAGACATTAAGTTTTATTATCATAAAATACTGATTTTTTTATGAATTGTATATCATTATCACTATATTTGCAATAAATTATATAATGTTATATATAATATATAATTTTTTTGTAGCGTGTCTCTAACGTGTCCGTGTCCCATATCCGTGTCCATGCTTCTTAGGTACCGAATGATACACGTTTATACAGAGAAATTCTTGAAGAGGTTCATAGCTTGGCATATGCTATGCATCGTCATAGTACTAGATTGTATCATAAGTTGAGGAAACACTACAGCTAGATTGGAATGACGCAGGAAATTGTTAATTTTGTGGCAAAATGCTGAGTGTCTCAACAAGTTAAAGTGGAGCATAAACGTTCGGTTGTAATATCGCAACCTATTATCGTGCCTAACTGAAAGTGGGAGCATATTATTATGCATTTTTGTGGTAGGATTGCCACATACTCAGAAAGAGCATTATTCTGCCTAGGTTGTGGTGGACAAATTGACAAATTATGCTCACTTGTTGGCTATTAAATCTTTGTTTTCTCTTGCTAGAATGACTAAATCATATGTTGATGACATTATCAAATTACATGGTACACATGTTTTTATTGGATCTGACAGGGACCCACGGTTTACTTCAAAGTAAGAGCATATTATTATGTATTTTGTGGTACGATTGCATCTTACTCAAAAAGAGCATGATTCTATCTAGGTTGTGGTGGATAAATTGACATCTTCTTGTCACTTTTTGGCTATTAAATCTTCATTTTCTCTTGCTAGACTAATTAAATCATATGTTGATAAGATCATCAAATTACATGGTACACCTGCTTCTATTGTATCTGACAAGACCCACGGTGTACTTCAAAGTTTTGGCCTAGTCGTCAATGTAGTTTAGGTACTATTTTGAAGTTTAGCACAATATTTCGTCCCCAAACTAAGGGGTAATCCAAGCGTACCATAAAGACTTTAGAAGATATGGCGTGATTCAGTGTGACAGATTTAAAAGGTAAATGGGATAAACATTTACCTTCAATTGAATTTGCCTCTTATAATAGATATCAAGCTACGTTCGACATGGCAACCAGTGAAGCTTCATAGGGTAGAAAATATAGAACTCTCGTTTGTAGGAGTGATGTTGGGAAAATAAAGTTGCAAGTCCTGAAATTGTTCAAGTGACATTGGATAAAAATGTGGAAGCAATTCAAGATCAACCCAAAAGTGTCAAAAGTGAACAAAAGATTTATGATGTTAACCACAAGAAGTGTTTAGAATTTGGGATTGGTGATCATATCTGTTTGTCAATTTCTCCAAATGAGGTTTGATAAAAAGGGTAAGTTGAATCCTTGACCCATTGGTTCCTTTGAGATTATTGATTGTGCTGGTGCTACGGCTTACAGATTGGCGTTACCTCTTGATCTATCTAGGCTTCATGATGTATTCCATGTATCTATGCTTAGAAAGTATTTGTCAAATCCATCTCAAGTTCAAACTGCGGAACCTATTGAATTGAAAGAAGGTTTTACTTATATTAAGGAATCGATTCAAATTCTAGACCGAAAAGGCGAAGTGCTGCGTGCCAAGACTACTCCTCTAGTTAGAGTGTACCGGAAAAGTCCGTCAATAGAAGAGGCCACTTAGAAAAAATTGGAGGACACGAGCAACCACTACCCTACTCTCACTTGTTTTAAATTTCAATATGGTAAGTAAATTTCCTAGGAGGAAAAATTTCTTACTGGGGGAGAGTTCTTAGATCCGACCATATATTGCATGGCATCATACATTTTTTGAGGGGTCTAAAATATAATTATTAAAAATAACTAGTGTTAAATTTTAAGGTGGTAAAGAATAGGATTAAATTGTAAAATGATGAAATCTACCAGTTAAGTATTTGAATAAGTCAGTGTCTAGTGTGAAAATAATTAGAAACTCAAGGACTAGAGTGTAACTAAGGAAAGATGAAGATAAATTTGTCTACAACTCACATAAAGCTAGGGTTTTCAAGACAAACATTCCTCTCTCTTTATTCTTTTCACCTTTCTCAGTCAAGCTCTTCAAACCATGCTTTTGATTTGTTCTCTACTTGAGTAAATTTATCAAGAAGCTTAGGATTCTCACTTCAGTGATTAAGAATGTTTTAGTTTCTTTTCTTTCAAAAGATCAAGTAGGTATCATTTTCACCCGTGGAGGTTTTCTTTTACAAACTAGTTATTTCTTTATGTTGGTGATCTTCAAACTTATATTTTGATTTTTTTGTGATTTAAATTTTTTTTCGTAGTTCAAATATGAATCCATTAGTTTTTGTTATTTACAATCACGAGCCAGTACATTGTCATGGAATATAATTTGCTTTGAAACTCAAATTAAAAATACAATATACCTTTTATTTAAACTAGCTAATATAGATAGTCTAATGACTCTAATTTGGAGAGCTTAATCCACTCTCTATTCTATGTTCGTGAATAAAAGGATGACACATACAAATTATTCATTAAATACTCTTGACTATGAGAGTATTTTTCTATTAGAATAGAGAGTCCATTGGAATTGTCTAAAAAATTTCTCTATTTCAAATTTTCATCGAATATGCTCTCTATTGAAAAAAAAAGCGCACCGTTTATACTAAATATTAATGTATAAATATATTCTTGTAATAGTGAAAACGATTTGGATAAGAATTACAAAATGAACCACGATTTAAAATAGTGTAACAACTAAGTATACCCCTGTCATATCACATATCTAAAAAAGTTTCTAACGGTATATTTGTTTGCGTATCTATACTATGTATCAAATCGTCCCTCAATCTAGGTAACATTGATGCTAACATTATTGTTTCCTTGAATGCTCAACAAAATACACTTATCCTATCTTTGCATAGCTTCGGTAAACCACTCAAATTAGGCTCTTGGAGACCTCTTTAAACCATATAAATGACTCCTTCAGTCCACATATCTTGCAAAACCTTTGAGAAATGCATTCTTAACATCAAGTAGTCGAGGAAGCCAACCTAGCTATATTGCCGAGGAACATATGAAATGAGAAGAATTCATCTTCGCTATCAGAGTACGTCACTCCTGATAATCAATCCCATTGGTCTAAGTGAAGCATGTGGCCACTAATATGACTTTGTATCTCTCTGCTGGGCCATCAACCTAATGTTACATCATAAACCCCCCATTTGACAAGAACAAAAATTTTACACCGAAGACAGCACAAAGTACAAAGAAATGGACAACAAATCCAACCAAAATGGAAAAAAGAAAAGAGACCATCAAAAGACAATGGAAAATAATAACACTTAGTTGCACGCTGGATTCCAATTATGATGAATCAAGAATAAAGGATAGTCCTAAAACTCTTTAGTTGCTGCAAAACCAAAAGTAGGCCACCAACTTAAACCTTCCCAAAAAAAACTCCACCTCCACCACTTTATCTTTAAAGTTTCTATCATTTCTTTCCACCCATCACCCAAAAAAAATGCTATAACAACAAATACCCAAACTTTGGGGGTCCTACTTCCTGTCCCAAAAGCACCATAAGTTTCCATCACTAATAATAACACAATGTCAGGGGATTACTAATCCAATTCCTTCTCAAAAAACTTTATATCACAATTTCCAACTAATAGTTTTGTGAAGGAAAATATGGTCAAGACGTTCGCCCCACTTTCTACACCTGACCCACCATTGAGGAGATATACAAGCATTAGGCCTTCTGCCCGACAAATAAACCCCAAAGACTCATAGATGGATTCTTCTCTCCAAAAGTATCTAGCAAATGATTATGCTTTCACAAATTCTTGACTGGTGTGATATATCAGTATCACATGCAAAGAAACAATCGCATTTAAAGGTTTAACTTATTTTGAGGACAGATTATAGCTTGCCTCAAGATCTTACTTGATTGATACCCCAAAACTATAGACATCTGATTTCTCGGTATGTGTTTCCTTTGTCAATATTTCAGGTGCCATGTAAATGAGTGTGCCAACCAAGTTCTTTTTGTGGAAACCACCGGTTGGCTTGCCAGATGATCTCCAATTTTCAATAGAAACTTGTTTGAGATCTCTCTTGTTTTCTGCCAAACCAAAGTCTGCTAGATATTGATGAAGGTTCTTGTCAAGCTGCATCAAAACAATATGAACATTCTTAAGCTATCCTAAGAAACCTTGTGCTAGTTCAAGGACGTCACATATTACAAATAAAGAGAAAATAGGAAACTCGAGATCATTACAAGAATATTTGCAGGTTTCACATCCCTGTGTACAATCCCAAAGTTATGTAGATATTGCAGAGCTTTTGCTGTAAACAGAAATCACAAGAACTGTGAATTGATTATCTAACATTGCCAACAGAACACAGAAGATATAACGCTTTTCGATGCTGTCTACCATAAAATAAGAAGCATGCATGGCTATGTAAAGCACTATACAATGGTAAAACTAGCAAAATGAGGATTTGAACAGGGCAAGATAATATATCCAAGTTACCTTTGAACACAATCAACAACACCACAACGAACCACAAGTAACAACAAATAAAAAAACAATCAGAAACTTAGTAAACCAAACAGATTCGGAGATGAATCAACCAAAAAAGTGGTTGACCCAGTGTTGAAAACCAAAACACTAATACTGAACCGAAATGAAAGCTCCAAGATTGGTACTAAACCAGGCTGAAAACATTGATTTGAACCTGAATCAAGATAAAAACCATTAAACTAGCACCAAAATGTGCTAAAAATTACTGAGCCGCCACTAAATAGGGTTGAAAACACTAAAGCATGATGAAAACCACTAAAGCAACACCAAACTGTGTCGAAAACCACTGACCAACACTAAATTGAGTTGAAAACACTGAATTAGAATTGAACGGGAATAAAAACTACTAAACCAACACCAAACTGTGCTAAAAATAACTAAATCAAGTTACAAACACAGCTGACCAAAAAAAAAAGTTGAAAGTACTGAACTAGCACTAAACCAAGCTGAAAACATTGAACCAAAATTGATCCAGGATGAAATTCACTAAACGAGCACCAAACTGTGTTGAAAAACACTGAATAATTGTATATAAGGGTCAAGAGAAATTTTATGACAAATAATTGTGTAATTGTATGTTAAGGTCAAGAAAAAATATAAAGATTAAGGTCAAGAAAAATAAAAAGAAGAAGAAGTGAGGAAAAGAGTATGAAACAATGTGGTGAGTAGGGTTTATATTGCCAACACCCTATCACCTATTTATATTCAATCAATATTAAAGACAGTTACAACATTAAGAAAGTGCAACATAGCAGTAAAAACACATAATAAGAAAGTAAAATGATAGGAAAATAACATAATAGGAAAGTAGAACAATAAGAAAGTAACACTCCAACAACTTTCACAATCAAAAATCATTTTATGCACTTGATCTACTTTGACATTCTTCATATGCATAAAGATGGGTACTACAACTAATATCTAAACACTAGAACACATATTAACAGAGTGTCTAGCATGCCGATCTTCAATAAGATGCGTATCAAAGAATCCAATTTACAACTAAAGAAAAATAAATGGAGAGGCTCACAAAGGCTTATATACTGGTTTAGGAAGCCTTATTTTATCAGTGTGGGACAAGTTTTGGAACTCCCTTGCCCCAACTCAAATGTGGAGAGATAAATTAAAAAATAACAAATTCAAAGACAAAACAATTACACCTGAAATTGAGTCTTGCCAAATTCTTCCCAGCTTTGATACCATGTTAGAGTTTGAGTATTAAATATTAAGATTCAAAACAATATAAAAAGAATTGAGGAGTCCACTTAAAAATGTAATAACATCTAACTCAAAAGCAATTGGTAATGTGTGGAGAGACTATATGGCTCATATACTAGTTTGGGAGGTACTATTTTGTCAATGTTGGACAACCAATAACTTTCAAAAGCACCACTACTTCAATATACCACACTTTTCTAGAGAACTTAAGGACGTTTGTCAAATCAGTACATTATGCAACAATCTTTTAATAGCGCATGTTTATGTCAACACTTATTCATGACAATATCAATCATGCAACATTCAGAACCAACAGAGAACTCTCAAATAACTGACGAAGAAAAAATCTCAGAGACCTATGCAGCAGTGAAATGTTTATGGCATCATAAACTGTAAATTACAAAATCAACTCAATCTAAGGTTCCAATGCAGTTACACCATAGAATTAAGTACCTAGCCCTGGTATGTATGGAGCATACATAGTATTGAAGAAGTGACTGACAAAGAATAATATTTGGATCATCTACTTACTTTGAAAAGGCTAGGTCCCTAACAGTGACAGTTATTTTTGAAAATAACCCTAGAACTTTAAGAAAAATAAATTAAATGCCAATCATTACAAAATTAAGCTAAACTTAGACCATCTCAAGATAATTAAAGTTATACCTAGCTCGAGCGCGATTGTGAGCACTTGATCAATACTCGGACTCCATTCTTCCACATGTAGTTTCTCCGAAAGATTTCCAGAATCATAGAATTCAAAGAAAAACAAGTAATTTGGGGGCTTTGCATGTGCTGCAACTAGCCTGGCTATTCCGGGATGATCCAACTTGCTTCACATCACAGTATACAACAAAAACATCAAATAAATTCATACCAAGATAGTTGAGGAAAAGAACAATATATTGTATACAGATAGAAAGGGGGCGTGGCTCTTTGCCTTCCATACCACCACAAGAATGGTAGTTCTTGGGCAAATCCCACTCATAAACACGAGAGATAGGTGGACAAGGCCAGGCTGTCAAAAGGGTCGTAGGAAGAGAACCCAACCACCTATTTCATTTGACAAAAGTCTCCTTGTAGCTATTCCAAGAGATTCATCACAGTTATTACCCATTGCATGCAAAAGGAGACTGCATGTTCCCAACCATATTAGGGCTATGGCTATATGCTATAAAAATATAATTCAATATATTCCCCTTGGAGCTATCCCCAAGAGATTTATATATCCCAATCAATGACTGAACTACAGCCCTTCTCACATTTTCAAATATTCTTATAGCCCCCCCGCAGGTTATCAAAAAACTCCATTCTTCCCCTTAGGCCTAAAACAACACTAAATATAAGTAATTCACTTAGTGTATACAAAAAGCTAAATGGTTTGATATTTAGTAATCAAATATTGAATGTAGTAACATACATGGGCAGTATTGAATTGATAACCAAAGGAAAAACAATTGAATTGAGCGTAAAATCGAGTTACAAATGCAGATTATAACAAAATTAATGCATTGATTCTTGACTCAATTTTATTATAGCATCATGCGAACCTTTAAAATTTTATGATAGTTTATTGACAATCATTACATCATATCTTAAATGAAGGGATAAGTGGGTGATGACATAATCACAAACTAATTTTTATGACGGTAAGTAATTAAGAACTAAGTTTTGGATTTATGACCCAATCCATTTTTATGATAGTATTTTCTGCTAATTGATTTTGATAGGTTCGGATGACTAAAAATTTACCATTAGGAATGACTTGGAAATAATCACGCTAGTGCAAAATTATTGACTATGCAACTATTTGGACACCTCGAAATGAAATCCTCGTTTTCGTCCCTGATCCCATTAGTTACCAAGTGCATGCAAGATGGGTGACAGCATGTGTGTGGATACATATAGTAGAGAGAGAGAGAGGGAGAGACCATAAAATTTGCAATTCTTTGTGGAATTTGTCAATATTCTCCGAGGTAGACAAAATGGGTTTTTTCACGGCAACTTTTTTCCCCTCTAGAGTTGCTTCATAGACGACACTCTCTGCCCCTGCAATTGAACGCACAGTACTCAATCACAACAACAACAACAACAACAAAAAATGCAAACCACAGGCCCTTGGAATTTCATTTTCATCTTCTTACTTCAGGGTTGTTTAGACTTAGGTCCCATAAATTGGTAGTATTGAGTGTACTGTGTAGGGTGAACCGTGATACGGGCTTAAACTTTATCATTATTTGCTGTGTTTATATAAATAGCAATGCCCATACCTCGAGCGATTGGGGACAAGATAGAGTAGGAAGAAGGAGGAAGATGAAGAGGTATTGATTCGCTGCGGCAGCAACCTCGAAAGCACGTGTTGGGCTCAACAATCTGCAAACCCATCTCTATCAGATAATAGGAATTTGAATGGAAGGAGACAGAGGGTATTTTGAGTTCAGAGGATTGGAGGGTATTTTGGGCTCAGACTCGGAGGAATGGTTTTCAAAATATACTGACGTTTAATTAGTTTTGCACAAAAAACCAAATCTCTCGAAACAAGTGTTGAAAGCCTTTATTGAGATTATGAGGTGCGGACTGCAGGGGAGGTTCATCTCCAAAATATGAAGGCTTCTTTCTCTAAAATGGTCTTTCCTCTAGTTTCAAGCAAGTCTGTCGGTCATTATGTCTTTTATTCTGTTGTGTAGCTACCAAATAACTCATTTTCTTCCACTTTCACTACGTTTCATTCGATTTTTGGATTGTATCAACTATCAATCATCAATATTAGTGTAGAATTGGAATTTCAATTCTTTCTTGTTTAGAGTTCCATTGAAGCAAAAAGGAACAAGGTATAAAATCAAGTTTCATGGTCAATAATGGGGAAGTTCAGGTGTTGAAGCAAATGAAGAAAGGGCCTAATAGACACTGATGAATTGGATTTCGGTGATAACTCATATTGCATCCAAATTCATGATCTTACTGTTTGTAGTTTGGTCGTCAGTGAAAATTATCTCATCGTTTAAATTTATATGTATGTTTGATATCAATAAATAACGAATTTATACCAAAAAGAAAAATCTTTTCTTTGCACTCCCTTGCCTTGCACAATCTCTATGCACACTTAAGACCCATGATTTTTTTTCTCTCTATGTGTTAAATTTTACTACAAATTTCTTGATAAAATCAAAATGGTGGGCGTCGAAAGTCTTATGATTGTCACAAAAGAAAAGGTTTTGAAGGATTTTATTGCAGAGAATGATGGCGATGGACATTGCAATTGGAGCAAAGCCTTATAGGGAGAAAGAAGAAAAATAGATGGGAGATTGCTCAATCAGCAAGGCAGGAAAGGAGATTGTTGAGACCCGGATGGAAGCGAAGAATGTATAAAAACAAAGTGCTATCGTTTCACTTTAAATGAATGAAACGTTGTTGTTTCATTTAACAACACAATGTGCTGTTTTTTGCTAACAGCAGACAAGCCAGACCCTCATGGGGACCCTGCCTGCAAAAACAAGTCGCCCAAGAGAACAACTTCCCGGATGGTTCATTTGTCAATATCAACCGAATTGAAAACTTTTACCCCAAAGCACAAAATTTTCAATCTCATTCGTCACAATCCAACTAACTAGTGACATACATGGTCAGAATTTTAATAAGGATGAGCCGACATATAGGTAAAAAATGTACAATTGATACAAATTTTAGACATTTTGAAGTGCATACATAAGAAATATATCGAAATTCAGGACTCAGTTTTCAATGCGGCAAATTGATGCATAAAAAAATATTTTATAAACCATGCTATTGATTTTTTGCAAATAAGGGTAATCTTAGAATTAAATTTCACAAGGGTAATACAAACAAATTCTAACTCCACCGGTGGACAATTCGGGTCAAACCAACCCGCCGTATGCGGATGACCTTTTTAGTCATCACCAACGACAAGTCTCCAACCAACTCTCAATCCTTGTATAAGAAAGAAGAAAAGCAACCTTTATTCCTTCCGATTCCAATCCACAAGCGTTTCTTTCTATTTCTAACCCAAAAGATAGAGAAGAAAGAATCTAGATCCATGATGAAGATAAGCGCTTTTCCAGTTTTATCACTTAGCGTCGTTTTGCTTTTGCTTTCTATTGAGAAAGGGATTTGCAGGGGAGACGAATTCATAAGGATGAAAACTCTTGGTGGAGTTCACGACTGCATGGGTAGCCAAAACAGCTTTGAGATCGAAAAAATCGCTCGGTTCGCCGTGCAAGAGCACAATAAGAAAGAGGTCTAGATTTGTTCTGTTTTTTATTTTTACAATTTGTACTATACTTCTTGATTTTATTACAACTTTGGGATTTAGGATCGGAATTTGTAACATAATTCTTTAGTTTGATGTAGAATTTTTGAAGTGATTCTCACAATTTCAAGGTTTGTGAAGTTCGCCCAGTAAACTTCTTTATATTTTGCTCAATTCAGTCAAGGCTTGTTCAAAAGATTATTTCCCTTAAGCCCAGAGTCTAGACATGCCCTTGACAGTCATACATCGCCAAAAAGGGAAATTTTATATTGCTTTCTCGATTTATATTGTATGTGGTTTGTTTGTTCATGACTTAGGTGTTTGTTTTTCTTAATAATTTGAGGAAAAATAGTTTTTTTTTTCTTCACCTCTGTTTATGTATTTGTTTGCTTTAAGATTTCACCTGTATTGCCATTACGTCTTTTAGCATGGGACTTTTTTGGGGATCCGGCATGCTTTTTGTTGTCCAGTCTAGAAATATGTCATCACTCAGTTGGGAAAGAACAAGAGTAATGATAATTTGGTATTTGGAATAGAAATGGCATGATGTTTTATCATAATGATGTACCTGCATGAGAATTTCTGATGGAATACACGAGTGATCTGAACAATATATGTTGTAAAAGCATCTTTGGTTTCTAATTGATTTTCAAGTTGATGGTATGAATTTACCTTTAGATCATTGTGATTTAGAACATATCGTGTTGTATATTCTTTTGTTTGTTGACATGTTCGCCACATGCCATCTTTTTGTACAGAATGGACTTCTTGAGTTTGCAAGAGTGGTCAAGGCCAAAGAACAGGTGGTTGCTGGTAAGATGTACCATCTCACATTGGAGGCAATTGATGCTGGAAAGAAACAGTTATATGAAGCAAAAGTTTGGGTGAAGCCATGGGTGAACTTCAAGCAGTTGCAAGAATTCAAGCATGCCCCTTGAAGTCCCTTCACTCCCGCCTTCAAACCTCGGTGATAAACGAGGTAATGGACTATTCTTAGTAGGCTTGTGTTCTATATTAGTTATTTGTTTAATGTTTACAAAAGAGGGGATATTACAATAGGTGTGACTGTGTCTATTTATGCAAAGTGCATTCCTTCATGTAGATGTTTAGCTTAATTCTTAATCTGTTCCTTTATTACACGGACAATTCATGACAAAGAAAGTACTTCTAGGAGACATGAGATGCGTTTGTAACTTGGATATCGGCCATTGATAAGTTTCCAGCATGATGGAACTGGAACCTATTGTCTAGATCAAGTAACTTAAAAGTTTATTAAATTGGATAGCCACTCATTTTGTTTGAATTCTATGGTAATTTCAGTCACATTTAGGGGTGGAGCTAGAAAAAAAATTTAGGGTGGGCACATTAGTACATTTTAATTTTTTTTTAATTGACCGTAAAAATCCTTAAATTATATTTATTGAAATTATATTTATTGAAATTATATTTAATACTTAAAAGTTCAATAGACATAAAAGATTAAAAACCTATATACAAAAAATTAGAACTTCTTATCAGGAATGCGACTAATTCTTATTACTTAGAATTGACACTGATATGTTTTTATTATTTGAAAGAGTTACAAATCAATTTTATCAATAATATTTCTTTTATATATAAAATCATAGTACCAATCTTTCATTTATAATTCTATAGTTTACTACATAATAACATACATTTTTATTCAATAACAAAACAACCCTAAAATTTAAAAAAATATATAAAATAACCCCAATATGTTCAAAAAATATTCGAACATGTCTAAAAGCTAACAATAATATTAATTTCATCTAATTTAAGATTTAATTGGTGGAGATACAATGGTTTGTGACCATTGAATAGATAGTAAAGTTTATTAAATATTAAGATTCACTATTAAATTTAATATCACAATGTATTAGGTCTTAATAATATTGTTTGAAAAATTAACAATCATTTAGTTAGGGATATATTCAAACCGATATCACCAACACACAATATTAGGGTGGGCACAATTAACTATATCTAAATTTTATTTTAAAAAATACATGTCTAATAAGAAGAAAAAAAAAATTGAGGGGGGGCATGTGCCCACCTCCCTAGCCCAAGGGTGGCTCCGCCCTTGGTCACATTTAAGTGTCGTGTGTAGCTTACTGGCTGGGTAATAACCTAAATATACGCTCAAAATTTTGTTGTTATTTTGCCTAAAGTTGGATGAGACCCACTGTTGACATGTATTATCCATCATTTTCACCAGCAATCAACTCAAATTGGTGTGTTCTGAATTATCTGACTGGGCATATCTTACACGAACCATCTAGAAATTTTTCTTACCATCCTTTATACTCTCAGCTGACATGTTTATTGTGTTTCATCCACATGTAAGAAAGACGATCGCTCTACCAAGGTGATGTGTTTGTACTTTGCGTTATACATGTGTGAGACATAGGCACTTCTTGGACACCCTCGGGGCACTTATCCGATGCAATTTTGAGCTGGGTGTTTGACACTCATTTGACATATTTGACTTTCCTTAAGCTATGTCTATGACTGTAAAATAAAGATGTGACGTATACTTCTTGGACACTTGCTAACATGTGAGTGTTGAAGCTTGTAAATTCGATTGATAACTATTTTATCCAGGGAAAAATAGTTTGAAAGTTTTACTTGGAATTCATCAAAAAAGCAACAGACACAAATGTTTGCAAAAGGAGAAAGCTTGGTAGGATAAGTGGAATTTTAAGCTTGCTATCTGTCGCCCATTTTATTAACTATGTATGGTTCCTTAGTCTGAAATTTCATGTTAGAGCACTCTGTATAAGATTTACTTATTATAAAACAATGATTTGCTTATATTATGTTAATATATGAATGAATATATTGATACACTACATAATTTTATATATTGGACAAATTATTTATAGCTAGGCGTTTCTGTGTCCATGTCTTACTTTTTAGGGTTTGTCGTGCCGACATGTTCATGTCATGTCGCGGTCATGTCCTGTTCATACTTCTTAGATCCGCAAGATCAGACTTATTCGATTGTGAATCATAATGCCATTCCTTAATATGACATGGTGTTACCGAAACCTATCTAATTGCGCATGTAGGATCACAAGTGAAGCTTAATTCTAGAATAGACTGTTATATATTTTGTACTATTTTAAGATCTACGGTTTTTAGTGTTCAATTAAAAGAATCTGAAAAGGATGAAGGTTCCAAGTGCTGGGTTCGTCGAATTTCTTGACCTAGTTTAGAATTGAAGCAACTAGCAGGGGCATGGTTTCTGTCTCTTTCCTCTTGAAAACATGGTTTTATGTTGCTCCTCATCCCAAATGGCCACCTGTAATTTTAAATTTTTTATCCTCAATTCTATGAGGCCCTTACCCATCTAGGTTCTTGTGGCATTGAGAGTCTGAGTAGCGCTTTCTGTTTACCTGGTTGTTTTGTGATTAATGATTAGTCATGATGTAAATTAGATGTGGCCATAGACCAGGATGGCAAGCACAGTTCCAACTCACGATTCAGTGGTCCAAGATGCTGCACATCATGCTGTGAAGATCATCCAGCAGATGTCCAACTGTTTGGACCCATATGAACTTCTAGAGATCCTTCTAGCTAAGGCTGAGTTAGGCAGAATACACTTTTAGTTCTAGTATCAAGCTCCCTCTGTGTATATTATTCCACACATGCTTCCTCTTCCTCAACCTTCCCCTCTTGGGGCCTCTTTGCACCCAACCCCCAAGAAGTTGTCTTCTCAGTTTTATTTTGTAATTGATAAAAGTTTCCTGTGTGTAATGCAGGGCACTGAACATTATTGAAAGTTAGGAGGCGGGGAAGCAAGGAGAATAGTCCAAGGTTAAGTTAATATGGACATGTAAGGAAAGCATATGAAATAAGATCACTCCTGGATCGTTAATGTTCCTATTATGTAAAAAAGGTAACTATTGATAGTGCCTAATTTGCTAAAGATGTGTGGAAAAAAGCCTACCTATTTTACTCTGATAATGTACTTGAGTTTGGCAACTACCATGTCAGCTTGTAAATATATACACTGTGACGACCTTCTACCTTATACAGATATAGCTTTTATATGTTGTTTTCTTCCTCCAGTATCTCTGGGATAATAGCTAAATACTGTTTTTTCTTTTATTGTTTCACGCATAGATTTCTTTTGCTCCTCGTTTTAGGCCTTGATAATCACATCTGCAAATATTACTTGGCTATCACATAATGCTATTCTTGCTTGCTTATATCATGCAATCACTTGGAACTTAGTAATCTCTACATAGACTGTCTGTATTAGAATGTCGGTTTTTTTGCTTAGCGAAATCTAAGAAGTATGGACACTCTCAAGGAGGGAATGTTTACATGTCAGACACCAACACTTGTTTGATGTGTGCCTGATGTCCTTTTAGCCGTGTCCAAATTAAAAGATAAAACAGTTGCGGATATACATAAGTGACGGTCCTTTGGTGAATTATCTAATGCTTTTTTAGGTTGTTCATTGACGAAAAAATAAACGTGTCAACCTCTAATTATTAAACTTAGAAAATTTTATAAATGATTATGTCACTCCATAAAAGAAAATTTCTTCAAGACCAACTCTGTAAAGTTTTATTTAAAATTTACGGGAAAGGAGCACAACTTTTGAGTCACTAGATCTGAGTCGGAGGAAAGATTTTTTGTGATGAAAAGAACAAACCTTTAATAGAATGACATATTTACCCTTTTTTATATGCTTGTGTAAAATAGGCGAATAATTGAAGTTTCTATTTTACTATTTAACATAGTGAAAAACACCTAATTTCATCGTACAATACGAGTGTTTGGATAGTGAAATCGAACTTTTTTCACCTCCAACAACACCACCGTCATCCTCGGTGCTTGTTCCCCGTCTTCAGTTGCTTCACCCAATCACAACCATTGTTTGCTCCATCCAACAGTTTAGGCGTGACTAGCTTTCAGGGGTATTTTAGTATTACAAAATAAGACTAGTTATTAGTTTGGACTTGAAAATTTGTACTTTAGTATAATTATGTTTGGACCTAAAAGAGCCTCCACCTATATTTTTGGACAATTTTCACTAAAATTACTACTAAAGGGTGTATAATACTATAATCTACATTGTCCTCTATTATGTATATTCTCACATTCCACCTACTTGAAGTTCATAATTATGTATGTCCGCCATATTTTATCCATACTATTATAATTGACAAATTTAGTGGATTACTTTGTAAATTTTTAACTTATTCCATATTCATGATATGCTACAATAATGAAAGCATTACTTAAAAAAAAGAGATTATAGTAAAAGTTACATCAAAATCACTCACTCTTGTATTCTAATAATGTTCGAATACCAAACCTTGCGTAAGCCTTTCCATTCATCCGTCCATTTCTCATCACGTTACAATCACATCAAGACTTCTAAATAATAAATAACCAGGAAGATTAATATTCATGGCAACAACGAAAAACAAAACACAGGAAACCAAGGAAAACAGTTCAAATGTCCACAGCCACACGTTTGTACAAGTGTGCTGGCAACCTCGGCTTAGCCACAGCTTGAAGTGGGCTCCTCATGTATGTGACCGTTCCAGGGTTCTCAACCATGTCAATGTCTTCTGGCTTAACCCCCTGCGGTGGTTCCCATGAGAAATGATGCAGTAGATGCCCCAGCATTGATGTCACCAAGTTGATGGCAAGTTGAGCCCCAGGACAGACTCTCCTTCCAGCACCGAAAGGCAGCAGCCTATAATCATGCCCCTTCATGTCAACATCTTCCTCCAAAAACCTCTCGGGTCGAAACTCAAGAGGATTTTTCCAGACCTTTGGATCGCGAGCGATGGCCCACACATTAACGTGGACGATCGATTCTTTGGGGATGTCGTACCCACCAATCTTAACGTTGGCATTGGCCTTGTGGGGGAGCATTAATGGGGTNTGAAGTTCATAATTATGTATGTCCGCCATATTTTATCCATACTATTATAATTGACAAATTTAGTGGATTACTTTGTAAATTTTTAACTTATTCCATATTCATGATATGCTACAATAATGAAAGCATTACTTAAAAAAAAGAGATTATAGTAAAAGTTACATCAAAATCACTCACTCTTGTATTCTAATAATGTTCGAATACCAAACCTTGCGTAAGCCTTTCCATTCATCCGTCCATTTCTCATCACGTTACAATCACATCAAGACTTCTAAATAATAAATAACCAGGAAGATTAATATTCATGGCAACAACGAAAAACAAAACACAGGAAACCAAGGAAAACAGTTCAAATGTCCACAGCCACACGTTTGTACAAGTGTGCTGGCAACCTCGGCTTAGCCACAGCTTGAAGTGGGCTCCTCATGTATGTGACCGTTCCAGGGTTCTCAACCATGTCAATGTCTTCTGGCTTAACCCCCTGCGGTGGTTCCCATGAGAAATGATGCAGTAGATGCCCCAGCATTGATGTCACCAAGTTGATGGCAAGTTGAGCCCCAGGACAGACTCTCCTTCCAGCACCGAAAGGCAGCAGCCTATAATCATGCCCCTTCATGTCAACATCTTCCTCCAAAAACCTCTCGGGTCGAAACTCGAGAGGATTTTTCCAGACCTTTGGATCGCGAGCGATGGCCCACACATTAACGTGGACGATCGATTCTTTGGGGATGTCGTACCCACCAATCTTAACGTTGGCATTGGCCTTGTGGGGGAGCATTAATGGGGTTGGTGGGTGGAGACGTAGTGCTTCCTTGGCTACACATTGGAGATAAGGAAGGTTGGAGAAGTCCGTTTCGGACATGACACGATCCGTTCCGATGACTCGATCGAGTTCCTCTTGAGCCTTTTGTTGCACCCTTGGGTTCTTCACCAACTCCCCCATTGCCCACTCCACTGAGATGGTGGTTGTGTCCATGCCTGCAGTTATCATGTCCTGCACCCGAAATTAATCCTTTAGTTGTTTTGTTCCGCAATTAATCCTAATCTTTTAAGATCAATCCCAATTTATTGATGGAAAAGCCAATTGGCTTACTTACCCAAAGGAGGCCAATAACGGTGTCGTCACTGAGGTCATACTGCTTCTGAAGAGTGAGCAAAGCATCAACAAAATGCTGCTTGGCACCACCACTCTTGTTCCGTGCAAGAGTGTGCTCTTCCATGATAATTCTCGTGAGCCGATCCCGACGAGCTGCGTGCTGGGCAAGCGTGTCGTTCTCGACTATGAACATCCAACGAAGCCAAGGGATATGCTCTGCCATTGAGAGTTTTGCACCGATCTTGATTCCGTTGGAAACGATTCCCTTGAATTCCTGTCCTTGCTCATCAATCACACCTTCTGAATTCATAAACCGCTTCCCAAACGTCAGTCTTGTTATGTTGTTGAATGCTACTGATCCCAGATAGTTCCTCATCATCAAGCCCTTTCCGCCATTATCTGCAATGTAGAGATTGGTAAAATTATTCAAATGTCGTGGTTGAAAGCTTAAATTACATATACTTGAGATTCATTGGCAATCCGTACTGAAATTTACAACTAAATTTAGCAAGTAACAATAAGTTGGGGGTCAAATTACAATCGAAAAGATCAAGTATGGCTCAATAGGATCAAGTTACCACTAACAAAAGGTTATAATCAATCAATCTCAAATAATCACTATTTACAACTAAATTGAAGTGGACCTAATTCAAAGTATTTAACAATTACATTGAAGTGGACTTCATCTAACATTGACACTTATAACTAATCTAACGACTATATTAAAAAAATAAATCCCTGATTATGTCCCTCCCTAAATTAGATCTCGCTGCTCATATTCTACCTAACCCCAAAGAGCCTAAGGTCTTCTGCAGCGGCGGTAGATAGCAACTGCCACCACTACATGTGGTATCTATATCTCCACTAACCAACAAGAGGGAGACTTTATGAGGCGTGGAAAGATGACCCTCTACCAGAAATATAAAAGGGAGACTTTTCTCTTGAGACCCACGTGGTGGAGTGAGTGCTGACAATAGTTTATGATGAAAATTGTGTATGTGGACAATATGGTGGCTGCTTACAGAGTTAGGTGAAGGGGTTACATTTTAGCTGGCTGCTAAATGAGCTGTATTTTGGTAAAAGTTGATATAAATGGGCTCATATTCCATTTTTTCATCCACACACAATGAAAAAAAAAATTCACACACAATTACATTTTCACTTAATTTCATCCAACAACTTGAGAGTTTATGGTAAAGTCAACTTTGGTTATCGCTATACCCTTCCTGGACAAAGGATTTGATTCCAGATTGGATCTAGCTCAACAGGATCTGTCTATATACCAAAAATTGCATACATCTAATTCTACACTGATATGAGAGTCTAGTTTAGTCTAGTCTAGTCTAGTGCATTCGATATGTTGAATTTAATATGTATAGATATAAAATAAAATAAAAACGTACCGGGATTGGTGCTGTCTTTGAAAATGGACTCAACCATGGCAGAAACTTCGTCTTCTCTAATGGGTCTAAGAGATTCAAGTCTCTTGGGAGAGAACAGCTCAATATTACAAACTTTCCTAACCTTGACATAGTGAGGTCCATAATCAGCCCATATCAGATCTTTCCCATCTCTGCTAAACTTAGCAGAAGACCTAGTCCTGTACCTATCTGCCAACTGCTGATCATTTTCCTTCAGTACTTCCTTAGCCAACTCTGAGTTATTCACCACTATGTTCAACTGTGAACCAAAGTATACGGAGAAAATGGGACCATAGACTTGGGCCCACTCGGCGAAGCACCGGAACCTCACCGGTTTGACGTCGTAAAGGTTTCCGACGACCGGCAACGGACTAGGCCCTGGTGGGAGCTTGAATCTGAGCCGTTGATAGAGCTTGTAGGCAAGGAAGATGAGGATTATTGAGATGGGTAGTAAAGGTAGAGCCATTTAATTGAAAGAAGAAAAAAACAAAAAACAAAAAAAAGGAGAGAGATGGGGTTTGACGATCGACGGCACGCTGAACAAGGTTGGTGGCAGAGAGGTTAGTATATATAAGTGAAATCTGAGGGAAGTGGTAACATAGACCAACTTCAGATCTCTTTGGGTAGAAATTGTATATCCGAGAGAGAGAGAGAGTAACGTGCACTAATCGTCACCCTCCCCCTTTTTCTTGTTGAATACAGTAATTCTCAGTCAGTCGCTACCAACCACTCTTAATTTCTATGGCGCATTTTGTTGTGAATGTGAATTACGCCCATAAATTCTTGAATTCAATATTATAAGATATGGATACATAAATCTAATATATAAAAAGCAACAAATACTATATAATAATAAAAACATAAAAGCCTATTTTTTTTCTTTGTTATTTTTAAATAAAAGACAATGAAATTGCTCTGACAAATTCATTTGAATTTCTTATTTTGTGGAAAAATTACACTGCAGAATGGATCGTCCCTTACAATAAAACACGCGAGATTAAGATATCATATAAAATGGGGTGAATAGATTAATTAAACTTTGATGATTAAACAAANTCCGACGACCGGCAACGGACTAGGCCCTGGTGGGAGCTTGAATCTGAGCCGTTGATAGAGCTTGTAGGCAAGGAAGATGAGGATTATTGAGATGGGTAGTAAAGGTAGAGCCATTTAATTGAAAGAAGAAAAAAACAAAAAACAAAAAAAAGGAGAGAGATGGGGTTTGACGATCGACGGCACTCTGAACAAGGTTGGTGGCAGAGAGGTTAGTATATATAAGTGAAATCTGAGGGAAGTGGTAACATAGACCAACTTCAGATCTCTTTGGGTAGAAATTGTATATCCGAGAGAGAGAGAGAGAGAGTAACGTGGACTAATCGTCACCCTCCCCCTTTTTCTTGTTGAATACAGTAATTCTCAGTCAGTCGCTACCTACCACTCTTAATTTCTATGGCGCATTTTGTTGTGAATGTGAATTACGCCCATAAATTCTTGAATTCAATATTATAAGATATGGATACATAAATCTAATATATAAAAAGCAACAAATACTATATAATAATAAAAACATAAAAGCCTATTTTTTTTCTTTGTTATTTTTAAATAAAAGACAATGAAATTGCTCTGACAAATTCATTTGAATTTCTTATTTTGTGGAAAAATTACACTGCAGAATGAATCGTCCCTTACAATAAAACACGCGAGATTAAGATATCATATAAAATGGGGTGAATAGATTAATTAAACTTTGATGATTAAACAAACATTAATTTTAAATTAATTCCACAACAAATACAATTTCTCAATTAATTGTGAGAATCATTTTTTACCATGAACAACTCAAATATCATGTCATGTCATGTAGATTGATGTAACCAACTTATCAATTGATTATTAACACTCAATTTTTCATGACAATCTCAATCAAGATAACGATCACCAAAATCACAATTAATGAATTGAAAGCTATATAATTAAAATATCAAGTTCATAATGTGTGTATGTGCATCAATTACAAGTGTATAAGCAAATATAATAATAAAGAGACAAATAATTGTTAACACGAAAACCAATCAGGTAAAATCACAGGAAATTTTCTGGGTTCACTAAAATGTAATTCATTATCACAAAATCGATTTATAACTACTCGAGTCTTATATCTCAACTAATACTATGGTTAAACACTCATTTCCTTTAATAGATCGATTCCACCGAAAGTTTTTATTTTGATATAATGGATAGTTTCACTTGAACTCTCCATTGCAATGAATTGTTTAGAGCTCGAATAATCTTCTCTGCTAAGATCCTCACTATGCATAATCATTCAATGTGGATTTTGGTAATTTTCAACTAAGATCGTCATCTTCAATGCATGAGGTTGGATTGCCTTTAGATTTAAGGATATAAGATTGTTCACCACCTCTCAAGATGTCATAGAGACAAAAATTTACTCACAAGAGGCTTAGCCCCAGCATAAAAAGACTTCCCTCTATTTATATACTGGTAATAAGGTTTTTCTTAGGAACCAAGTAAACAAAAATTCGCAATTGATTGTTTGAGCAGTAAACAAAATAAGACTCCTTATATACTCCTCTAATCCACCCCTTGAGTTTCCACATAAAATAAATGCATGAATGTAAAACATATTTGAAATTAGAATCTAAAAACAATGTTTTTGTTCGTGTTTATAGCTCATTCAAAAATTTCTCCTAATGATACAGCTTTTATTATAATTTCTCAGTATTTGTTTTGGTTAAACTTGTGTTGAGTTGCTTTTGATGTTGTGGTAGGTGGGTGGAGGTTGGTTTGCCTCGGTCAACGACATTCTTCCTTGCGGTGGTTTAACTTGGAAGGGTCGGTGGAGCAAGNTTGCCTCTGTCAACGACATTCTTCCTTGCGGTGGTTTAACTTGGAAGGGCCGGTGGAGCACGTTGGTAATTAAGGACAATTGTTAGGTAAATCACCCACCTACCTACCACCACCCCTACGTGGCCAACTCATCACTGGCGTCGGATTTTGATTGAATTCCAGGATTTTATGTTTGTACCGTATGTTTGTGTGTATCATACTGACATTAGGTTGGAGCAAGTTTAATAAGTGCTAATTTCACATCACTAATTTAAGTTTCTCTTTGAATATTCTGCCCAAATAGGAAAGACTGTACAAAATAGGACCCATAACAAAGGATCAGAGAATCAGAAAATGGTAAAATTTATAAGTACAGTATCGAGTTTATTTCTTTGATACCGAATTTATTTCTTCGGTACCCAACTCAAGTCCTGCAAATGTCTGTTTGCACCCCGCTAGTTATGTATAAATTTAATGACACTTAGAAAATTTCATTGCCACTCTATGTCAGCCCTTATGTACGTTAATGGTTAGGGTTAATTTATAAAAATATCCCGAAGTATTTTATGTGTACTCTGTATGTATACCTATTTAATCTATACTATTAACTATGATTTGGTTTAGTTAACTCTACCTATTTATTAAACCTAACCTTACCTATGTTGTCTCTGTGTATTCCCATGGGTTAATAATCGTTTCTTGCATGAAAATATATATATATAGAGAGAGAGAGAACTTGGAAGACCTTTACGATTCCAAACATCGAATGGTTTGAAGAGGGAGCATTGAAGATTCTCTGGTATATACTGAATAAATTTAGAAGGTGAAATTTCATCATTAAAGATTTGGGTAAAGATTTGAGTCTCCTTTGATTTGAGTAAAAAAAAAAGTTTTAATTGATTTGGTATAAATTTGAGTCAAAGGTTGAAGAAAATTTTTTGAGTTTTTTTACTCAAATTTAAATTTCAGTCTAAATTTGAGTAAAAGTTATAAATGTTCTAACAAACCAAATAAATATAAAACAAATAATCAACAATACTTTCTTTCTTTCAGAATCACAATATTCAAAATTTTTAGTTAAGAAAGCAGTAAACCAGAACTAAAATAAAAGCAATTCCATGAATTTAACCTATGTTCCCAAAATTCCTTTTTCTAAGAATAAGGAAAAAGATTTTTAAAAAAAGGTTAATGTTCTTTTCTTTTAGAATTTCGTGACTGAAAGTATGTTTTGCTAATGTTTGAAAAATTAAATTTTATGAAATTCATTGGATTAAGATTCCACTTATAATTTATTGAATAAATTAAAAATAATTATCAATATACTAATCATATTGAAACCTTATACTACTCTATAATAACACACACATACAAACACGTTATAAAGCATATTAAAATTCTAAAAAATTAAAGTTACTCAAAAATAAACTACATTCTATTTTCACATAAAATCTTAATACAACTTAAAATTTATTATGACTGAAAAATTATACTAATGTAACATAAATTGATTAAAAAATTACATATACGATTATTTAATTGAAAAAAATTTCAGTGGTCATCTTAATAAGAGGAAACAATCAGAGTTATTAAATGGAGAAGGATATCTACCTCTGTGGTCAACCAATAGAAAATTGAAATAAAATCTGTACGGAAAATTTCCTGCAATAGTTTGAGATAGTGACCTTTCGCTTGGTGGACCTGCAACAATCACAGGATTAGAAAAGGGGGGGGGGGTCAGGTGAACACCCGACTTATCCTCTCCGAAGCTTAAGTCAGCGTAAGATTCGAGGTTCAAGCTTCATAAAAAAAATTCTATTATGATTCAAGGTTGCGTACCTTTGCTCACTTTTCTGAGGGGTATTTATACATGTATTAACAATGATTGCCCAATGACTCAAGTCCTGCATTTAATGTCTGACATATCTCCTCCAGTGCAATGAGTGTTGGCCACTCAAGTCTTCCCTTACTCGACGATAGAATGATAGGATGAGTGCTCGGCTCCATGCCGAGCGTTTATACCTGCCCCCTGAGTACCCACATCCCTCAGATCGGTGTCTGACACCCACAAATGAGCATTAAACACTCGGGGGAAGCCGAACATGTACCTTCGGCATACTAGCCATCTATGCCTAGCCATTATAACAACAGGCTCAAACTCTGAATGTGCAGGCGCTCATTAATACCTGGTCACCATCACTCGTATCGCCATAAATAAGTAGTCAAGTCGTATTAATTGCGTTGCCAACTGTCGTACTTGGCTCTTCCGAGCCAAAATCTTTCGGCTTACCTCCCTGACGTCTTTTGGGCATCACAACGGCTCCATTTTTCCACGCGTCAGTCTAGTGGCGACAAAGCCGCCTAGAGTCCCACCAACTGCCCCCCAGCCTCCATTCCTTTTGCGGTGTGGAACAAGTGGCGTAAAGAGGATGGAGACTTAGTAAACATGCCTTATTAATAACGACGGTTACTTGCACATCTGGCGCCACCCTTTTTCAAATTCCTTAATGATGGCTCAACTTCTCGATTCTTGCACTTTGCAAAACACTATAAATAGGGGGTGCTTATGCCTTCTCAGAACTTTTGCATCCTTAGCTTCCCTTTAGAAATCAGCCCCCAAGCACTCCTCTATTCTCCTTCGAGTTCCTTCTGTTCTCCTCTGAGTTCCTTCTGTTCTCCTCCGAGTTCCCTCTCCAAAGACCACCTTCTTGTAAGTCTTCCTTTCTCATTTCTTCCTTTTAGAACCCTCCAATGGCTAGAACCAGTAAAAGTAGGGGGGAGGTACCTGCCAAGGCTAGGGCAAACCCCAAACTGAGGAGAACCCAAATGACTGATGAGAATATTCATGCCTTTAGAGTTAGATACAACATCCCTGAGCCCGTTTTCACCTTCCCTTTTAACCCCAC